TTTTTTTTTTTTTTTTTTTTATTATATCTTTTGGAACTAGCCAAGTGGATTTCGTGTGCAAGATGGTGCAAGGGTAGAGGGCCCTCGAGAAAGTTGGCACATACTTGCAGCTGGATGGGCTTAGGCCATTGAAGAACTGGACAAGTCCCTCCTGGAGAGTAATGCGCGATACGCAGGTCGCCGCTGTGTTCGCCGAGTAGAGGGATTCTGTAATGGATTAGGTAACCAGGAAAGGCGTCATATAGCAGTGATTTTAGGTTGTGGCAATTGAGCTGGGGTCCCTACTTCTTGGTACCAGCAAAGCATCAGATCTTCAAAGTGTACTTTTGGCGGCCAAGCGTACTTGCAAACCATCCCATTGTGTGTTTTGCAAGGACAAACATTACAGATGTATATATATATATATGCACATACAGTATACATACGCACATACATATACCTATACATGTACGTATACATATACATCTGTACACATTTGTATAATATGCGGGATCCATGTGGATATCCTGTGGGGTTTCCTAGATGCATGCTGTTTTCAGGCTGTGGCCTGGCTCCAACCTCAGGTCTGCTTTGAGTGCAGCCCATGGGGCCGCCAAACAGGGAAGACCTTCGTTAGAGGCTGTAGATCAGTTCTTTAGGGGGTCTATCCTATGTAGGGGCATGTTGGAATCTACCCTCACCACAGCTGAATCACTGACTGGTAGTTAGCAGGGAATGAAAGAATCATTTATGGGGGTATTGTAGAGAAGTATACAGTAGGTGGACGAACAAGGTCAAGAGGTGCTTTATGGGGGTGTTGTAGAGAAGTATACAGTATAGGGACGAACAAGATCAAGAGGTATGGAACTGGCGTATTCAAGCCCTAAAACTGTGGATGGTGGTTGGATGGTTAGGTAAGTACTTGATTGTTCGTATGCAGCAAGGCATTGCTCCTGATCTTGGGCCGGCGAGTGCTGGTGCGCTGGCTGATGTTGCATCATGACTCACAGCTTGGTCGACCCTGAGTGCAAGTACTCCTGTAACGTAGAGCCCCACATGGGCCTCATCCAAAATGAGGGTAGCGACCAGGAAATCTCATCCTGCTTTGACCTACCTTAAGTGGGCCTCCGCTGGCCAGGTCGCCAACGTAGGGGGCTGCCGTGCAGTCATGCGACGCACTGAGCATCAATTGCCTGGCAGATGTGCATTTCCAGTGCATGCTTATGAGGGCAGCTTGTGCGGTTCAAGGTGCACGCCGCCGAAGGCAAGCGATTCTCAACCACCGTCGTTGCACTTACACATGCCAGGGAATTCGGACATAAAATACGCTTGGAGCCTTGCTTTGCACCAAACATGGCCAAGGAAACAAGAGGTTTGGAATGCACGCTTGCTTGTCGGAAGCGCAGGGCTGAGGAAAGCTTTCTTGTACACTGAGATGCATAGAGACATATAGAGACCTACAAAGATGGCATGAGGGCTACCAGTAATTCAGGTTTACGCGGGTCGTTGGGTGTAGGGTATCGGTAATTGCCCAAGCAATGCCCCTAAACCCAATGCCGTCACGATGAATCCCCGCCCTCCTATGGTAAACCCCATCACCTTCCGAGCCATAAATGTCCGCTCCAGAGGTGATATAAACCTATATACCCCTACATACTATAGTAGTTTCCATTTGATTTTCCATTATCCCAATATAATCCCAATATACACCCTATTATAATATAGTCGAGCTATGTCCAGTTTGTCTGTAAGGTGCATATTTTTTGATTACTGCGGGACCGCAAGCCTCCAAACCCCAAGGCCCAAGCCATTTATAAACCTCAAAGCCCACATCGAGGCGGCCGCTCCGGAAAAGCACTGGCCGATGTACAGAAAATGGAGCGGCATCGGCGCCTCAAGGTCGGAGGGTCTTACGGGCTTCGGGATTAATATTTTGGGAGTCTCCATCATAATCCCCTCCCCCTATAAGAAACGCCCCCCCTAATCAAAAAAACTAAATCCTAAACCCGGGGGCTCAGAAATTACTATTAGGGTGGATATTTATTGAAAGAATTTGGTAGGGCTGCCGTTAAATTCCTTTAACAATCAATTAAAGGTCATGTACAATTAATGAATATTGAATGAAATGAAACAGTCGAATTAATCCACTGATTAGATTAATTCATTTTCGAATTAATTTCAAGCAAAGGAAAATCATTAACGAATTGATTAAAATAACCGTGAGAACATGCATGAAAACCTAGGAATAATTAGTTAATTGCAGGAGTTCCTTTGATTCCAAATTAGGGCCTTATTAGGGACTTTTTCTAACTAAGGCCTCATTAGGGACGAGTCCAATTAGGAACTTATTAGGGGCTATTGCGAATTAAGGATAAATTGGGGAATAGTCCAAATTAGGGAAGGGTTAGAGCCCCATTCCCAGGAGAATTCCCTTAGATTCTTTCATATAAAATCCTTTTACAAACCCATATGAAAATTGACCAAAACCTAGGATGTCAAGGGGATCCTAATTCCTTCGGATTTTCTATTATGCCCCGCTAATGACCTCAAAAACCACCCCCTGATTCATCATGGTCTGGCTCCTTTCAAAAGTAGTACAGCTCCTTTGAACATGCTCATGAGGAATTTTTAGGGCCCCGGATGTATTATTTATTATTGGGGGGGGTTTTATGAATAGCGGGAACGTATTTTGGGGGTGGACCTGTCTCCTTTAGCAAAAGAACCATGTAACCCATGAGGCGGACATAATTGATTTAATGATCCTCCAGTCCACGCATGCACACCTAGACATATTTTTGCGTGTCCGGGGTCTCCAGGCTTCAGAGGGTACCTTATTCAGAGAAACCCCGACCCGCCGGTTGATGTGGGCATGTTCAAAGTTGTGGTATTCATGGTATTCTAGACGTCATGGCGGTGGTATGCGGATGCAATGGCTAGTGGTCGTCGTAATAGTCGTAGGAGTGCACTTGCCTTCGTAGCAGCAGCAGCAGCAGCGTCGGCGGCCGTTCGATCCCTTATGTGTGCTTTGCACCAAGAAGTTTCTTGCTACGGGCTTGCAGCGGGGACGCAGAGACACCTGGAATTGTATGCGACTGCCAGGAGTACGCCCCGCTGGACTTTGAGGGAAAGTCAGGGGATAGCCTCTCTGCGTTCAGTGCTTGCTCCTTACCAGCCTCACACGTGTTGCAAAGTTGAGAGTGTTGAAGCGAGCACAGTGTCTGCGAGGTTCAAGCTTCTCTTTCCCGAAACTTGAAAATCTCGATGCCAGTTGTAGCTGTAGTAGTAGATAAGCATTCTCCTGATGGGGCAGTTTTGGCAGATCTGCTTCCACAACTACCGAAGACGCTTGGGCAAGAAGTCTGGCAGATCTAAGCGAGTGCTAGGCAAAAGAAACCTCCTGAGAACAGCTTTTATATTTGTGGAATGAAGCTGCCTGCGCAGTGCCTCAGCCGAGGACGTCGACTTGTTTAGTCGGCAATTCGTTGGCCGAGTTTGAGGGTTTCCAGACCTTGCCCGACGTGGAGATTCTCGTCTTTGCAGGTGGAGAGACGGCTGTGGTCGCTGACCTGTGGCCGCACATCACGAAAGTCAAATGGATCCACAGCCTTGCTGCAGGCGTTGAGTCGCTGGTTCCAGTGATCAACTCCCTGCCAGGTGGCCGAGAGATCCCGCTGACCAATGCCAAGGGTGCCTACTCAAGATACTTGGCCGAGTATTCCCTCGCAGCCATGCTGCACTTCAAGCAAATCCCCAGACTGCAGAGTAACCGGGTCACGAAGACCTGGGACAAATTTATCATGAATGAGCTGCACGGGCAAACGGTGGGCTTCATCGGCTTTGGTGACATTGCGCAATGTACGGCTCCGCTTTGCAAGGCTTTCGGCATGAGGATCCTCGCCTGGAGGAACAGCCGGGGAGCTCCTGGTGAGGAGTTGGCCGACGAAGTCTTCTACTCCAGCGATGGGCTGAGCGCAAAGCAGGCAGGCTCCAGCCAATGCCGTGCTTGATATTCCACCCTTGCAGCCATGTCCTCGTGTAATCTGGAGCTACCTGAAGCACTGATAACAGCATTCTTACCCTCAAGGAGCTGTTCAGACAGTCGGACTATGTCGTTTGCACACTGCCCGGTGGCGCGGCAACCTACCATTGCTGCGCGGCACCTTAGCTGCATGGCTTGTCCCTGCGAACAATCTAGCATCCAAGTTATCCAAAATCTCATGCATAGCGGTGAGTGTGAAGTAGTACGCTATCAACTAGAAGCTGCAGAAGCCGAACGTGCTCAGGGCCAGATGTAGAGGATGCAGTCCATCACCGTCAGCTAAATAGGTACACAATCTCATGTTTTTTCCATGTATTGAGGCTGATGAATTTGATGCTCGGGCCTTATGCGGGGAAACTCGAGCATGTTCCCTTACAGACCTTGCTTGTGTTCAGGGAGGCTTTATTCTTAGATCTCAAAGCCGAGGCGATGAAGCCCAGCTCAGTGTTCATTTCACTGGGCCGGGGTCCAGCCGACCTGATTTTTGGATTTGCACTGTAACTCGTGCAAGCAATCTAGCTGAACGTCTGTCGCCATAAGAGGTAAAGTGGCAGAGGTGAGGTGTAGTGGCAGGGTGACTTGAAGGTGTGTACAATGCCGCATGTGGCATGCATTCCATGTAACAGGCTCGTGCGTGGATGAAGCAGCTCTCATGAAGGCGTTCGACACCCAGAGAGGTTGCAGCGATGCTTTGGCAAGATGGGGGTCAGGTGAATACATCAGGCTATCGGTCTGCATGAGTGATAAACGCAATCTGAGCACAAAGCTTTAATCGAGTCGCGCCGTTGCTTACAAGGCTTTCCAGTGGCAAGATCGCCGGAGCGGCGCTCGATGTTTTCGAGGAGGACGTTGTGCACGCCGCAAGTGGGACTTCTCAATGTAGGATCCTGCTAGGGTCGCCGGGGGTAGCGGGAATGTAGAGGTGTCTGGGAGGGTTTTCTTGCAAGGTTTCTTCTTGAAAAATGTCAGAATATGCAGCTGAACCTGACATCGTGGCCATGTGTCACATGTGTCGATCAGAGTTCGGCTCCATGTCTTAGAGGAAGCATCCATCTAATTAGACCAGTGCCAAACCACAGCCATGCCTGCTTGTGAAAACTGCTGTCTCCTTTCGTTCATCATTTTGCTTCAGCCCCTTGTTTGATTGTGTTAGAGCCGCGATGTTGGTGGCGAAATTTCAACATACCGTGAAGGGAAGGACTCTGCTGCCACTCCAAGTTACAAGATGTTACGAGTGGATGCTTAGGGAAATGTGTTTTGTTGAGTGGTTTCATGGCTTGCCCTTGAGCCGCTGATTCCTGGCAGACTTTTCTCAGTGGATTTCCTGGCGCACTGCCACGCCCTGTTTGCTTCCACGCCTCTTTGAGAGAGAATCCTGCCATCACTGCCCCGGACATTTGGTGAATCCTAGATTCTACCACAGTTGTTTTTGCCCTGATGTTCTCCGTGGCCTTCGGGGTTGGGCCTTACGTTCGAAGTTCGAATGCCGTTAGATGGAGCTTCTGGTGTGGGCATCAGAGTCGGAGCTGGCCTCTCAGCACTTCCTCGATCATGTCCTATAAACGCTATTCCAGCTTGTGGAAAGGTTCCTGGAGCCAAATATCTGCACAGGCCCAGATAGTCAAAGACGGCATCTTATTACTCATGGTGTGCCAACGTACGATTTCAGGCCAATCGGTGACTTGCATCGAGAATTGCCAGGAATGTCTGTCAGCCTCCAAACTCACATCCCTAGCCGATCCATCAGCTCAGGGCCTGGACTCGCATGCGGCAGAAGTGATCGGACAAACCCTGAAAGGAAACATCCCCTTGAAAGGGCTGCAGGGGCACCGCAGTTCGAAATTGGCACTGCGCACCGGAACCTGCATCGGCAACGGTGTTCATTCTGAGTTGCCCTCACGTGCCGCAAGTGCCGCATCCGACAGCGTCGCCCTTTTTTTCTAGAAAATAAACGGCAGGACCAGCGGGGAAGTGTGCCGTTGGTCCACTCAGGCGTGGCTGGGAAGATTCGAAGGCCGCTGGCGGGGAAAGTTGTTGCATTATGAATCAGCATTTTCTCGCTAAACAGGTTTCGTTAATTTTGGTATGGCTTGCTTTTGCTCAGCCAGTGCGAGAATGGGGCAACAAGATAGTGGAAATGCGTAGCCGAAGGATCATGTACCAGCGGCCTTTCTGGGGAAGGTCTAAAAGACCACCTGTCGCCTCAGAACCTGGCAGGTTTACGCAGTTGCGTGGACCGGTGTATCGGAGAATAACACCATCATCAGAATGTCACGGTGCCAAGGTGAGTCATGAAGACCAATGCTTTTGTAAGAGCTAGCAAGCAAAGCAAAGTGCTGCTCACCATTGCTTGCTCGTGGTTCATTGAGGCATCAAAGAAGCCGCGTTTAACGAATTCCTGGGTTTGGGATACATTTCAGTCGAGATTTGTGGCAGATGTTCGACGAATGGGGCCTGGTGCAGCGCGTTGGAGAAGACCTAGAAGAAGGTTGTTTTGTCAAATTGGATCCAATCAGGTGAGTGACAAGGTCCTTAGGCAGTTGTGCCGTCCGCGGGCCGTAACAACCTCCCACCCTTAACTGAGGCCAAAAACGCTCAGTGGAAGACAGTTGTGGCAAAGTCCCAAACAAACGGCCGCTTGGAAGCCAGCAACGCCAAAGAATCCCACATGAAAAAACGTCAAAGCAAACCCACCAACGAACAACGGCCAGACATCTGGACCAAGCTGTCGTGCCGCCAGCACCAACTTCCTCAACAATTCCAGCCAAAGGATCAGACATCTATCCCCAGAGACGTTGTCAATTAGCGCTGCGCCTCCGGAGTTCCAGCCCTAGCCAGTGCGCAGCCGGCCTGGGTCGTGGCTGATCAAGTAGCACGAGCCATGTCCAATGACGCCATGGGCGCATGGACATCCGGAAAATCATAACTAGCACAATGGAGAAGCTTCTCACCAAAGCATACGCAATGCCCTACCGGACTCCTTGCGGCGAGGTATTAACATCAGGTCAATTCCCGCGCACGCACCAGGCTGCAGCAGCGCCACCCTCCCCGAGGAATCACGTCCAATGGGCTTCATTGGCCATCCGCGCATGATGGTCCGCGTCTCCGGCCCAACAGGTTCAACATTACCTGATGGCCCTCGCTGGCAATAAAGTTCTTGTTGACAATAAACGATGGCCGTGCAGCTTCACAACCCGCTCTTGCGATCATGTCCTGAATGTTGCCTTCTACTTGCAGGAGCGCACATGGGCAGATTTGCTGTTTGCCTGTACAGGCTTGCATGGGTCGAATTTGCAACTTTGATGGCAACGTGGCAGGGATCCAGAAAGCGCTGGGCGAATCGCGCTATGCCTTCCTTCTTGGAGATTCCATTTTGGGTCCCCATCCTGATATGGTGTTTCCTGAGATGTATGTGTGGGCAGATCACAGATGGCATGCGGACTGGCTTTCAAATCATCAGTACAGCGCTGTTATTCAGCACTTTGGACATCGCGGTCCTCTTTTGCATCATGTTCGGTTGGTGCTTTTAGTCTTCTTCAGTGTTGTGTGGGAGGACCTGGTTTCCGGACAAAGCTTTGTTTCGAAGGGCGGCGATTCCCGAGCGTGGTGTGTGGAGGAGAATGCTTGCCAACGCCATTAATTACGTGGCACGAGTGCGCGTGGCAAAATCTCATGCGTGCCGTGGAGGTAGAAGTAAATGAGTACAAGTTGGGACGTGGAATTCGGCCGTGGTCGCGACTGGTGTCGGGGGAGCTTCCGAATCCTGAGCGTGCATAGGCAAAGGATTTTCAATGCAAGTGTGTGAAAAGAAGGTTGCATTCGTGTGATTGCTGGCAGAGCCTTTTTGTCAAGCCTTGCAGCGAGTCCGGTGCCCCGTTTCCCAAACCATGAATGTGTGCCAAATCGCCAGCACGTGTGTATTTCGGCCAAGGCCAAGCGGGCAAGGGCTGAGGGGCAAATAATTCGATAGAACGCACTTGCTCTTACAAAATTAGGGAAGTTACAGTGTCATCTCAAATCGCGTACGATTTTTCCCTCGCCCGTTTGTTTTTCAAAAGCAAGGCGTAAGGCTCGTACATACAATATCCGAAAAACGAAAAAAACTCCCAGTATAACGAAATAAACCTTTCAAGTGCCTCTGCAGTATGAGTCAAATAGTCACAAACACGCTGTTGGGAGGACGTTGTTTTCCGGAATTGTAGCCAAGAGAAGCTTACTTACCCAATGGCAGCAACCAGCCATTCCCAACATCCGGAAGTTGCAACTTGCAATATCATTGTGAAGAGATTGACTCTACTGCGTCCTGACAAGCCTCACATATTCTGTGTGCCGACAAGTATTTTTCAAGACTCCAAGACTGCTTTTTGTAAAGATCCTCATAAAGAGGCTATGGATTTTCCCGAGCTCCCAAAATCCCTCAAGCCCAAAACGTGCTCGTTCTGCAAGAATCTCCCTTTCATCCAGGAGCCGTTGCCGCCAGATTCCCCTTTGTGGGATTGCGAGAAGCTGCCCCGCAGATGCAGTTGAACTTTATTGGTGTAGTGTTTCTTATGTTATTGCGGTTTTACAAATAGTTCTATCAATGCTCAGCTTCATGTTTTTTACTAGTGTTGTTGATTCAAGCAGCATCTGTTATTTAGCTGCGACTGCAGTATCCTGTTGAAACCACAGGATGCATCTTTGGGCGCCCGATTGCCCAGGTTGATAAGCCCGCACAATGCAGCCCCTTACATGGCAAGCCAGTATCTCCCAGAAGTTAGCATTTTTTGTTGAGTTGTTGGTATTTTGCACAGTATTCTCCAGTTTGGGCTTTTAGCGGTTTTGGTCACTAAAGCTTTGAAGACATAAGCCTGAGGTGCATACGGCAGAACTGGGAACTATTTCTGAGCCGGTTGGACGAGTTCATGGCAGATGGTTTTTCTGGCTTCCAGGTCGTTGTTGACAAGTCAAAGGGATATTGAAATTGATCCAAGCGAAGAAGTGGACAAGTGCCAGTGGCTTGAAATGCAGCCAAATCCAGCACCTTGCTTCACGAAGAGCATCATCAAGGAAACCATGGCGTCCGGCAATGGATATGAACTCCAGCAACCCCGCCGGGTGTACTAGTCTTAGGGCTTCTTCTGTCTAAGACGAGATGGAGATCCTGGCTTGTATCACCAGGGCGGATGGAGAAAAAAGCGTGCTGCTCAACGGCTGTTGAAGCTCGGAAGACTTGCGGCGTATGATGCTTGCTACTACTATTGGATTATCATAAGGCGACTACTCCAGAATCCTAAGGCCACAGCTGAAGAGCTGGCAAAGCTTCCCAGCGAGCGCGAGCGGGCCATACGACGAGCAGCGCGAGCAGCAGCATGCTTAGCAAGTTCGTGCTTCATCCTGTTAAATTGTCAAATGATTGTCTCCTTCAGAATTCTCAGACAGCAGCTGGTATGCATCCAAATGATTGTATAACCAACTCAAAGCCCGCACCAAACAGCGTTGTTGCTTGCAGTGTAGTGCTGATGGTTGCTCGGTAGACTGTTAGATGCAGACTGAGCTGGCGTTCTCTGAGGTTATCTTTGAGGGGTGAAAGCACTGCGAGGGGTACCCTGCGGAAATCCTACCGCCACAAGCACTTGTGAGCTGAATGAGGCTCACCATTTTGCGGCCCTGGGCTTGACTGCCGCGGAGGTGCAGCCCTAAGCTGGGACATGAGGGGGGATGCGTGTTCTGCTATGTTTTATTTTGAGTAAGCATATTATTGTGATGCAAGAGCAGCGGTGTCTCAAGCTGTTGATCTAGCTGCCGGTTGCTGGATGGTGGGTGGTGCTTCGTTTAGCTTGCTGTTTTGTAACGTCAGACTGGCAAGAGTGCTCATGCAGCAGTAGGTTCCCTTCGGCTGTTGCAGAGGAAGACGTGTGGACTCCGTAAACATTGTGACCCCAATCTGCTTACCAGCTTTCAGGCCATGACTGCGACGCCTGCCATGGTTCAGAAGGCTCCATGGCTCAGAAGACGTAGCGGTTTGGATCTCTCATGTTGACAGCAGCTATCAAGTCCTGCAACTTGCAAAGTGTTTTGGGGTCGGGACCTTCACTACGACTGGGCTAGGGTTCAGCTCTCCAGTGTTCGCAGCAAAGCAGATTCGCTGAACAGCTTAGGCTGTGGAGGAGTATGAGAGAGTTGTTCGAACCTCAGCCTGTTCCTGCATGAGAGCACAACATGTTTGTCAACAGCTTGCGATGTTGATCCAATGCCAACATCATGCCGAGGTAGGTGCGCCAGATGGAGACAAACTTTGCACAGCTGCCCTTGGCAGAGTAAAGGCGGCAGCCCGAAGCAGATGATGTGATTCCTTCCACGTTTTGACAAGTTTGGATCAAGACAAGATTTGTGCACCCGAACCAGGCTGCCGGTAAGGCAGTCGAGGCAATGCTTAGCTGCTGCCCCAGACGTTTCTCTTGAAATCAGCTGCAGTCGCAGTTAGACCCTGTTCTACAGCTCCATGGGTTACGTGTTCAAGCTGTAAGGATAGTGGAAGCAGCATTGTGGCCAAAGTCGTCATGCTGAAGTAGTTGAGTTGTCGTGGTAGCAGTAGTAGCAGCAACAGTAGGGGATAAAAGAACATGATTTTATCAGTTGTCCGTGCAGACCAAACAGACAAAACATGGCTGATGCACCTGGCCGCAGTAGCCTTCTCAGGTCTGGACTCCTTCGGAGCCCATCAGCTTGCCGAGCTTTGCTATGTCAGATCCCTACAAAAGTTACCTCAGCTAGGGGTCTGGGGGGGTATATTTCCATAAAGAACCCCCCAAATTTGGAATATGCCTGGTGGGACTGCTGATGTTTTAGCATGTATGGCTTACAGCGGAAACTGATCTGCGACGAGCTGGCGTTAGGGTTGTCATACTCTTTGCAATTGCTATTTGGTTTCCCAAAACTTGGACACAACAAATCCTTGATTCTGCGTAGTTCGAAACATTAAGTTGGTCTATCCATGCTCTTGTGGGTGAATTTCTCCTTACTAGTAAACCCCAGATGTGTTGTTATGATGCCAAGGTCATGGATGACGAGGGAGGCATCGTGTCGACATCTCAGGATGAATGGAAACGGGGGTTTAGGGCTTAGGGTTTGGGGATTCAAGCCCTTCACACAAGCCTTCTGCCAGTCTCTGTCTGGATCATAGGACAAATTGCTAGTTGCCAGCAAAGGTTCAAAAATGTGTAGACATCTCATGGTAGAAGTTCTAAGATATGACCCTAGGTTAGCAAGAGCACCTCTCTTCCAAGCGTTGATGTACACAATTCTGCGGGACACGTGGACTTTTCTGTAGGGTCAATGCAGGATGATCGTGAACGGTGATCATGCATGGAAGTTCAAGGTCACAGAAGAGGGCGTCGACGATCCTTGGAGTTGGGGCCCTGGGGCGCAACAACAACTGACATAGGGTTTAAAGGTGTTATAAAGGGATGATATAGGGTTTATAGGGCGCATTTAGGGATAATGGAAAAGAAAATGGAAACTAGTATAATGGGGTTACATAGGGGTTATACAGGGTTTATAGGGGCCATATAGCTATAATGGAACAGAAAATGGACACTACTATAATGTGGGTAAATAGGGGTAATATACGGTTTACAGGGGTTATATATGGATAATGGAAAAGAAAATGGAAACTATTATTTGCCAGATGAGCTGCTGCCAATATCAGGGCTACTGCGCGGATTCTAGGCAGGAGGTTCCTTTCCGTGACTCAGTGCAAGGTCAAGTGCATTCCCTGAAGAAGCTGCTTGTTGCGAGTGCATTCCAACGGTTCTTTTGATGTTTTTACCATTTCTTGTACTGGTGGTGTGATGTTTTGGCAGGCTTGCTCAGCCTTCCTGGCATCCGCGTGAGGGGTTGTTTGCTGCACTGCCTTCTACTGTTTTGGTTATAGTTTTCTTGATTCCCAAGCCTTCCTATCATTTCTGTCATTCTTACAACTTACAAGAGGCCCTGAACCTCAAACTCTGAAAACGACGAACCCGAAAACTAATCATGCGAATGGAAGCGGGCCCGTAAATGCGAACCCCAAAACCTTGAACCAAAGTCTCAGCGATTCTGAAGCCTTAAGCCCCAACTATCTAAAGCCCCAGAGGCCATACCCCAGGCCCTAGACCCTGACCTGTTGGCATCATTCGTCCAGCTTAGGTTGAGCCGGGATGCGGTGAGGCCCAGGGACATGAAGTCAAAAACAAAGACAAGGAGGGCATCGGCCCTTTGCAAAACCAGGAGTGCGCACGCACGTATTACGGATGGGGAGCAAAGTGAATGACGGAAGTGGCTTTTCAGAGTTCCACAAAGAATTGCTCGATAAACTCCCACATAAAGGTCATTTAGCTAGCAAGGGTTGAAAGAAGGAAGCTTGTCAAGAGTCTGCGGATACCCTTTGCAAATGAAAATTGAGTGCTCTTGTTGCGCAGAAGACAATTCCGAAACCGGGTAGCTATTTATCCGACTAGGAGGTCAGGAGTATTCGAAATCAGGAGGCCTTTGAGGAATCATCGAAACATCCCTCACGGCTAGTCCTCCTCTGCAGGCTACCGCGCACGCACAGGTGGAGACGCGCTATCGGGCAGCTGAGCTCAGACTGGACTTGAGTAGCTCCTTTGTGTTTACTACTGAATATGGATGGCGCCACTGCGCCACTGTTGTGCAGTATGCCTAGCTGAGACCGAGAAGCTGTTGATTTGGAAGTCCTAGCACATGAATTAGGAGTTTCTCCCTCTGTATCGTGCCATAGCAATATCCTCCTTATCTGAAGGGCTGTATTGTGTGATACCATTCCTGGAAGAATTGCTCAGACCTGCACTCGCTTCCGATCTGCGGGCAAGGCATTGCTGACAAATCTGGCGGCAGCGTCGCCAGAGGGTGCAGACAGAGCCCGGGGGATCATGGGCGAGGCTGGGCAATATACTGAGGTCCTTATGATAGGAACCCTCAGAAAGGTACCCCTGATTCTCGAATGCAGGTGGTTGACGCTGTTGCCAGACCCGTGGCCCAGTCGGTAACCCAGAGCCGGATGTGTTTTGTTGCGGCTCAAACTACCTCTATCCTAAACCTCCTTTATGCATAGGCTGTGGTCGCCTCCACCTGAAAGTAGAGCGGTTCACGCAGCTTGGAACTCAGCGTCAAGAATGTTGGGATCCAGGTCAAGCTCTTCAGTCGTTGCTGTTGGTTTCTACCCATTACTGGCAGGCCCGTGCTATGGGGCTCCGGGACCTCAAGAGGACGGATTCTCAGCCAAGCGGCGGCAGGTGCGTGTGGAACTTCCTGCCGAGTCAGTCCTAGGCCCCGAAGACTGGTGGGCCTTGAAATCGTCAGCGAGGCCCGGGTCGCTCTGACATCACTTCACTTACTGCACGGCAGGTTCTCTGAGTTTGCAGATTCCGGCGTGACATTGAAGAAGCCGGCCAATGGCTGTCTTGAGGTTATTCACGTGGAGGACGACAGCACGTGCTGCATCATGCTCCTGACAGAAGGGATGTGCGTGCCCTGGATGGATGCTCCAGCGCAATCCAGCGCATTCACCACCGCTACTTGCCTGAGCAGCCTCTGCAAGTTCATAGCGTGCGAATGCAGATGTTAGCAGTGATCTGATGCAGGCATCGCAGCTAGCATTTCTTTTGGCTCAGACCTCCTTGTCGAAGTATCTTAGTACCTGTCTGGCACTCAGTCGGTTGGTGCACTGCATAGCAGGGAGGGTTGATTTTGCATGATTTTGCTGTGCTCGGCAGCGGTTGAGTGAAGATGGGATGCTGGCCCAGGCAGTAGTCGAGAGTTTTCGCGCCGCTAACCATGGGGGAAATGGCCCATTTTCAGCGTGCTTCTCAGAAAATGGTAGGGCATCCTGCGCCATCAAGTCCCCTCAGTACAGAAACGAAATTCCCGGTGCCGGCAGTTTATCAGAAGTGCCGCTGTAGAGTCCTCAAACGGGACTCAGAATCACTTTGTAGCTCCTACATTGCACCCTGCTATGAGAAACTCCTCCATCCATGTCTTCCTATCTGCATGCCTTCCCCACGATGTTCCTCAGTGGCACCTTGCATCTCCCCTTCCTACTTCTGGCAACTGCTAGTGTCTTGCCACTTGGAGGCTCAGGGTTGCTATAAGTGCTGCTACAACGATGGCTGACCACTTTTAGCCCTATAGTCCCCCTTACGTAGATACAATATGGCTTTGGGTATATTATGGTAAGATCCCCATATACCCCATATTCTATCTACTTAAGGGGGACTATACTTGTAGCTCAGGGGCGGAACTGCCAAGTTGGTGACGCATCCGGAGTTGCTGGGACCCCAGGGCAAGTTAGTAGGGGATCTCCAATGAGCTTGAAAGCTTCTCATTCACTGGACTTCTGCTGTACTCCAATATATGATATACCCCAATATACCATATACCCCAATATACCCCAATATAGTACATACCCTATGCATATATACATATATATTTCCTGTATATATATATATACACACATTATTCATTTACCAATGTACTTTTTACCAAGTCCATGAGATGGTTCGCCGAAGCCGAAACAACCCACCATACAATCCCAGTTTCCATGTCATATTCCCTTTTAATTTGCATTGGATTCTTCAATTTAGTAGTTTCCATTTTCTGTTCAATTCCCCCCATGTGTTTACATAATAGTGGTCATATACATATATGTACAGAATAGGAGTACTCTCTCTCTCTCTCTCTATATGTATATATATATATCGGCTTAGGGTCTATGCTTGATTGCTTGTGGCCCGCAGGAATTATGGACCAGGCGCGTTGCAGTCTTGCCAGTTGATGAGAGTCTGCAGCTGTTATGTCCACCCGCTTTGTTGCAAGCCATGGGGTGAACATAAAAACACCTCGAAGCGCTGAACCCCAATCCCCAGAATCGCCTCAGAATCCCTATTCATGTGCCCCCAAGTACCCCAACCCTTGAAATTCGGCCTTTATTATGGTCATATCTTCGTATTAAATGCTTGAGGTAGGAGACATCCCCCTAGTACTAGGGGTATCAGATTTTGCGAAATCTTCCGTGCTTCCCACTCCCACGTTCAGCAGGTCTCTCTGGAAGCACTCCTTGGCGACTTGGCGGTCCAAGCCCCAGTGCCAAGCCAGATAGGAACAACCCAATTCTTTACCAGATCTCTAGTCTGCTACACTCCGCTGCTATGAGTATTAATGTAGATACTATCATTGTCATTCTTATCTTGATACGCAACGCCTGTGTGGTGTGGCATGCCGAGTTGACGGGGATCAGGATCATGACGATAGCATCCTGCCATCATTCTCTTTTAAGGTCATTGCCATGCATGATGCTGCCCTGGCATGCGTACTGGCCCACATTGGGATCAAAAACTCCCAAGAAATCCTTGACCCCAGTAATTAATCACCCCAAAGGTGAGACCAACATGTATCAAGAGTCAGTGATCCATGCGCGTTTTTCCTCCGCCGTCCGTGAAACTCGAACGGGAGGGGGTTGCAGGCGATAGCGACTTTTATTGAGGGTTTGAATGGGTTTATATTATAGAGAGAGATGATGAGCTATAGTCTCAACTCACTATGGCTCGTATGCACTACTTCTGGGACTCATCCCCTGCGATTCCGTTTTGGACGCAGACTGCTGAAGGCACCCCAGGCGGCGGTACGGGGAAGATTGCTGGGAGCTTGGCCTCCGAAACCTGTTTCCCAAAAGGGGATATCGCGGGTTATATAGCGGTATATACAGTTTAAGGTTTAGGGATGAGGGTTTAGGGTTTCCCAAAAGTAGGGGTACCTTTTTTGTCGTCCCCAACATAATCATTATAGTGTTTGGGGTCTACATTGGGATCCCCTTATCTAGGGAAACTACCATGAGGGTTCGGAGGTAATTAAGGCACAGAGTTTTAGGCTTTTACTGTTTCATAGGGTTTTGAGTATCCTTTTGTTTGGGGGGGTGTTTGGTGGTTTAGGGGTTTTAGGGTTTTGCTGCTCCCCTTGGGCATCCTAGAATCGAGACGCCTGTTGACAAGTGGACCCTCAAAAGGAGGCATCACTTTGGCAACCTCCTATTTGGTTGGACAACTCTGGGGTATAGCCTATACCGTATAGGTCTAAAGCACGCGACCAACAAAGGAGATTATGGGTCGAAAGACAGTGAACTCTCCAATGACTAAATTGTAAGGCCCAACACCCTGCACCTAGAATTCCTGCAAAGCTTCCGTTTTCGTTGGCGCTTGACACTCTCGCGAGGGACGTAGGTCTCGACAGGATGCCTTGCCCGTCGAGGATCAGGAAATTTGTATAACGAGAAGCTCACGTGTAGTAAGTTTTGGTAGTTGTGATGTGATGGCAACCGAGTTGCAGCATCCCGAGCTGAACTACGGCCCTGGCGTGTCCGGAGCGCTTTATGTCGAAACTTTGCTGCAACTGGCTAGATAAGGGAGCTCTCCAACAAATTCAGGGTGCTTTCTTGACATGGAGAATCTCACCGACATAGATACAGCTCACATTGCAGAAGCTTGCTGCAGGATCATAGTGGTGGTGCTCATCACCAGGCGCGTTTTCTTTGGGTGTGCTGCCCAGGGTTGGCAGGGCAGCTGCGGGAGACATCGCGCGACGTAGGTTTAGTGCAACAGGCTCAAGTAGCATTATATTGCTACATCTAAAAGGGCGGGGTCTGACAGGGCTCCTGCTGGACTGTGGTGATTCACTCGAAGTTTGCCAGGCTATGGAAGCGGCTGGCCAACAGGACCATAAACTCCGTGCAACGTGCATTTTTGGGGGCTGTCAGGCAGAATCAGGATTGTCACTTCGTACTCTTTTAGTTCTGAGATGGCCAGATGTCTTTCGGGGCCAACGCTTGCAGAAGGCTTGGAGGCCAACACCTTTTCGTGTCTTGATGGGGCAGAAAGGGGAAGAGGGGGGGGGGGCGGGCGGGCATTGCAAATACAGGCATAGAACTTGATTGCAGCCCCACTGTAACATGGATCAGGTTCACGTTTTTAGGGGTTGCTCGTAGATTGGACAAAGTGTGACGACCTCACCCCACAAGGTAGTTCACATTTAACAAACGGTCCTCAACTGGATTGAGTTGGCCAGTTGCAGCGTTTTGGTGGTCAGAATTTGCCAGGGTTTGAGGGAGTTCGGAGTTCAAGTTTTTGGGTTTTGGTTTTGGAGCTCTTGCTGTTCGACAGTTGGCATGCTGCCAGGACCCTGGAAAAAAGAGGATTCCTGGACGGGGCGACGTGTGCAGCGTCGAAGAGTACCTTGGCTGGTCTTGGCTAGCAGCGGCCAGTCTGCGACTCACTACATTGAGACCACATGCGTATACTGGGTATCTCAGCACGTTACCTTCAAAAAGAGAGGGTCACCCTGCGCAGCGGCATAGGCTACTCAACTCATCGAAGCTCAGATTGCATGAGTGTTTGGTGCAGCATCATAAAATAACAAAGTAGGCACCAGTTTCACTGATTGTTGTTCAGGCGTATCACTAATGGATGGCAGAGGCCCGCTGCATCTCACGTATTGCATGCGACTCTTTCCGGCTACAGCCTGCAAGCTGCACGAGCAGACGGCAAACATGATTGCGGGATCATTGTGCATTTATGAGACGGATAACATGATTCTATACTGGCTACTTTCAAATCCTTGCTTGCACCTGGTTACCCAGACTTTTCAGGATTTTGCTCAGTCTGATTGCAACACGCCTGTGCATGGAAACAACATCTTCGCAACATATCCCTGCACCTACAGTCTGCTTCCGACAAATCTACATCCTAGGTTAGGTGTTCCCGTTGTTTTTGCCAGGCGGAAAGATCGAGTTCGCTGAGTGGCAAGCGCTGCCTCACTAGACAGCAGGACTCGGAGAAGCAGTTGCGCCGCAGTTTGGCCAGCGTATAGAGAGCCTCCGAGAAGCATCAAGAAATCAATTCGGATCGTGCATTTCGGGCATGGGCTAAGCCCCGCCTGATCTCTTCCCCAAAGACGCTGTTTTGGAAAAAAAGTCCATTCCGGCCACCAAAATCATCAGCATGTTGTACTTGGATGCGCAGAGTCTCACCTTCGTCTAAGGTCAGAAGTCACGGAGGCACAGATTGCGGAGGCCGTCTCGATGCACAAAGGCGTGGTTTCGATGCGTTGTTGCATCCACGTGCAGGGCGCACCGTCATTGTTCAGTATCATGCGCTCTGTTTGAAACACTTGCTTGGAGTGGGTATGTAAGTATGTTGATTCTGGGAGTACCTTTCAGACCATAGGACGACTACTGGGCACTGAAGCTTCTCGGCTCGAGCAAGGCGCCAGCGGTTCTCAACCTTTGGCGCTGGGGTGGTCAGGTATCCATGCAAGGATGACCCGAGCTCGCGGACACGGAGCGGTACCGCTGCTGCTAGGCAGTCTGCTGTGCTTGCTCTGCTTGCACCAGGCATTTGTGGATCTTGCTGGATCTGCAGCTCCAAAGCGTGGTGCCTGGAACGTCGAACAAAAGCTTGCAAAAAGAAGTGACACTGAAGCCAGCGCAAAGCTGCCACATACTGGCCAAGATGCGCCTTGGGCAAGGCTCTGAAGCGGAAACCTGTTCATTTTGCTTACTTACGGGTATGGGACAAAGTAGATTAAGATGAGAGGTAGGAAGACTTTTTAAGCGGACTGTGATTTAGACGTGCCCATCTGTCCCTGCAAGGCAATTCCCATGGGCAGCCGCGGTTCTCATTTCTGGCTGTCTACTAGCAAGCTCAGCGAGAGCAGCTAATACTGCAGAGGCGTTGGCTGCGGCAACTGCACCGCAGCAGCTCCGGCCAAAGAATAGGCTAGCCGCAGCTAAGCAGGTAATCTAATCCTTTTGCATTTCGGATTGGATGGTGAAATGTGTGCAGATGTAGGCAGGCCCAAGAAGGCTTTGAGGGGCAAGCTGGTCGTGAAGAGGCACTTGTGCAGCAAAAGGCGCTAAAAGCCGGCCCCAACAAACAGGCCCTCGACCCAATCCTGCCTTTGCAACCATTTTGCGACCATTGCGAGTTTCATTCCACTCCCGCAGGATCTTGCTTATCATCTTTGCTTCGCAGACACCGTAGCCAAACCTTGATCTCTTAGCACTTGGCCATGCTTGTAGCACCTACAAGGATCTTCTCTCGCCATCAACCACACTAGAAGGATCCCAAAGGTGCTGCTCCGTCGCGAAGACAAGCTGGTCAATTGGGTAGCAAATGTGCTTTGCAAATATAGCCGGTCTGCTTGAGGTTTTCCAAAAGGCCCTTCTGGGAGTGCATAGTTTGGACCTGTGGCGTCTTCATCTGTGGTGAGCTGCAAGGAGGTAGGTGTTGAAGTACTGTACTGGTGCGGTGTACACTTCAAACAACGCATAATGCGCCACAGTAGGCATCTAGAACTAGAAAGTGATGCCTCACTTTGCTCCAAGTATTGGCAGTCGCCAGCACGTCACTCCCCTAGGAGGCAGTGCTTGCAAGCGACTCTCCGAGGCAATCGCAAACTGCAACATCGCCATTTCCGGACTGGAGATCCTCGCTCACTTTCATTTCGACAGGGATTCTGCAGGGAATGGCTAGCAAGTTACCATACAAATCCACAATCCTCATACATGATGAGTAGCCAGCAGTCTTACCTTAGTGGCCTGTTGTCAAAAGGTAGCGTTGCGCGAAACGGAGTCATCCCTTCCTGTGCGTTTTCACACAAGGCAGCCTTGTGAGTATTCAGGGTATGTTTTTGTGACCTGCCATCTTGGGAAGTTGTAACAAAGTATGTTCCGATGGAATCCAGGTAGACTTCTGTCTTGTTAACTCCAGTCTAATCAGTCTAATCTACCATGGCTTTTTGGGTAAGCGTTTGAGTCAGGCTGCGGAAAGGTGTCAAAAACAGACATCGGTACGGTTCTGCCGGGAGAGCGCATGACAAATTCTTGGCAATTTAAGGAGCGCTTCTGAAGCCGGAATGGCGTGCCGCCCTCCGAACAGACGAGAAGGCAGAATGCATCTGCGATACGCTTTTTTATCCCGATGCTGTGTGGTGCAGATCATATCCATGCGGTTTTGCTTGTCAAGGTCCTTCAGGTTGCCATTCGTAGGCAGGCATGCGTAGACGGATGTGAAGCGGGTAACCTTGTGCAGAGTTGCTCCAGGAAGGCTGGGTTAGCGCAATCTGGCTAGGATGTGAGCTATTAATTTGCCTAGCAGCAGCCAGCACTTCGGTGAACTTGCTGATGGTTATTAGTCCGGCATTTTGGCGATACAAACCCTGCACCATTCCAGAGGCTGCGTGGCGGCGAGTGCCAAGAGCTGCCCCTCGGACTTGCACGGAGAAGTATGCGCCCAATAATTACTTGTTGTCTCAGCTGTAGCATGCCGACGCCACACAACATCAGCTCTGCAACAAGCTCTCATAAGATGGACCTGCCAGGGTGTAGCTGTCTCTCCAGCCTGCCAGGTCCTGAAGCGCTTGCGCGGAGTTGCTGCTGATTTGGCAGACCTGCAGCAAGATGTCTACGATGAGGACTGGCAGAACTTGGCCATCTATCCGAACTTGTTTCAGGCCTACTTGCCGGCGGCTCGCCTTCAACATGCGCTTTAACCTTGCAGCAGTTCCATTCCCTGAGTGCAGCCAAGGTATTTACGAGATACACAGACTCTGCCTTCCCCAGCGATTCTCCCGTGGATCAATCGCTACGCTTCTCCCTTCGGTACGAGGTGGGTGCCTTCTTCAGGCACGTGCGCGAATTTGAGGAGGCCGTGGCCGAGAAGAACTTGTCCAGCAGCCCGGCAGATGAGCAGAGCTGAACAAAAATAACCCCAAATATTGAGATCATAATAGTGCTCGCGCTATAGCTTTGACATGGCCATAGTTCCTTGGGCGGCCCCTTAGAGCGGTGACACTTTCGGGTTGGGCGAGATGTTCTTTCATCGGCAGGCCTGTATGACCGATACTCAATCGGTTCCCCCTTGCAACAAGCAGTAGTGATGAGATAGTATAAAAATCCAGAATTGGCAGCAGGCCTTCTAAAGAAGCCGACGCCGATACCCAACCGATACCCTTACCGACGCCCCAGATCCCCCTTCTTGGGAAGGACATGTGTCTATAGCCTCAACTTTTGATATGGTAGGATCATGGGCGCGCCTACGTGGTGGGCAGCTTTTGTTCCGCAGTAGGACACAAAAGTGCATCGCAATATGGGTTTGGAATAAGTTGCAGCTCAGAATAAAGGTTCCACGAGGCATGCCCCTTGTCCGGATGAAGGCGGCCCCAATTGAAACTGATGGTGAACGTTTGAGTAACGAATTTATGAACGGGGTTTTCTTTTCGGATCTTGTCAGGTAAGAGTGAGAGCTAGGGATATCAAAGGAGATTTCCATTGCGACATCAGGGGGGGAGCATTAAAGGCGTCCGTCCCACTTGCGCCACTCGCCCCACTCGCCTCACTCGCCCCACTCGCCCCACTCGCCCCACTTGCCGCACTCGCCCCACTCGCCCCACTACTCGCCCCACTTGCCCCACTTGACCCACTTGCCCCACTTGCCCCACTTGACCCACAGGCCCCACTTGACCCACTTGCCCCACCTGACCCGCTTGCCCCACGACCCACTTGCCCCACTTTTTGGGGCAAGTGGGGCAGCGGGGGCGAGTGGGGCGAGTGGGGCAAGTGGGCGGTCTAGGGGGGCAAGTGAGATTTCTGTGTATTCTTGCAGCTGATGGACTTGTCAGAATTTTGCTTAGCCAGACTGGTACAGCAAGTGCGTGTGTGGAGTTTCTAGCAGCTGAGGGGCCGAGGAAGCCAGCGCTTTGATGAGCTTGTCGTACGACAGGTATCTCAAGGCCAGGTGCGGTGGTATTGGGTCATCCATCGGGGAAGATGTTTCAATTCGAGAGCTTACGTGACCTTGAAACAACAATGGTGACAACGCAGGTAAGCTGTTGACGAACGATGCGCCCATACCAGTCATCCCCAACATCAAAATTATCTATGGTCTAAACTCCTAATATCCACCTTAATAACCTCTACAGTAATCCCCTATGAAATCCCTCATATAACCCTGACCATGGGAGGCCGGAGACTTGTACGAAGGCTATGAGGCAGATGCCCCCGCTGCAATTGTGAACTTTGACAAGATTGAGTACGACGCTTTTCTGCATAGCGAAGCGCTTTGGGATATCTACTAAGACGTGGAGATGTGCCCCAAGACCTGTTGTGGCACCGCAAGCAGTTGTTCTGAGAAGAAGGTGAGCCCTATTCTCTCTTGCAACTGCGCTTTTGAAGGAGCCTCCCGAATTGGAGCCTCCGTTGGTGCGTGACGACGTGATCATCCTGGTGGGTCCTGATAAAGGGAAGACGGGAAGAGTTCTTTGGGTGGCGCGCATCGATGGCAAGCCAAAGCATCTCGTCCAAAAGACCCTTCAGAGGATTGAACATAGAACAGCAAACCTCTGGACTGAGGCTTCCCAAGCCACATGCACGTTGCAAGCGGCCCAAAACATACCAAATGTTGGCTGCGGTTGTGCCCTGGACGCTGCAATCTGAGGTTTGCCATCGTGCGTTTGAGCTACAACAGAGTGCTCCAGGATGCGGAGGTCAAGACCTTTAATTACAACTGGATTGCCAGGACCCCTACATCCAGTTCTTGATTCCAAGGTTAGCAGATTCTAGCGCAGGGACGTCTGTGTCCTAAGTCCCATGCATACTGTACGATGTCTGGAACTTGAAATGTACGCCGTGCTGCAAAATCAAAGATGGACTGGCCCTGGAAGCACCCTCCATCAGCAAGGCCAGGTCCGAAAATGCGCTAAGTACGCATGTTTTGCGTGCCCATCCCTCTGCTGTTGTTGGGATACCTTCGCCGGCTTGATCAGGCCTTTTCCTCCAAGTCAATTGGAAAGTCCATCCCCTGGCGCTGAGGGTGATTTTTGAGAAAAGCAGTACCGCCACATACCGCCACTACAAGGCCCTCGAACACAGGTTCTGGGCTGGCAGGACCCCTAACAGAAAGTCGGTCAGACACTAGGAAAGATACTGGTCATCCATGAATGGTTTCACTACTTCACTTGTTTACCACCCTGAATCTGAAGCGTCACAACCCTGACAGCCAATAACCACGATTCAAAAACAATCCACCCCCCAAACTCAAAACTGAAGAGCCAGAATCTCAAGCCCTCCCAAGCCCAAGACCCAAAATGCACTCAACGCCAAGGAACGGCTGAAGCGAAAGCCCCAAAGCACTTCAGAAACTCACATTGGGCGACCAAAGAGGAACCCAACCCACAAAACACAAAGGAACCTCACAACCCAGAATTGAGAAAGCCAAAGCCACCTTTTTTGGACCTCTGAGCCCTACATCCCAGCCCTTTGCTTTGCCAGGACGAGCAGCTCTTCGGACCAGCTCCTAAAGGACATCGGGGTTGTCAGACAGGCTTTCTCAAACGTTTTTTTGGAGGTACTTAGGTTTGGGGTGTAGGCTCATGAGCTTATTGATGTTTGGATATAGGGTGTCTTTACACAAGCGTAGAATCATCACGTAGTAGCTGTATATATGTGCGTCACTTATCAAATATCTTATATATTTGTATTACATTATCATTAATGCATATGCAACATTCAAGTCGAGGGGATGCTTTCGTTACCAGGACATCGGCTGCGGATTCGTGGCCAGTCTCATCGCCTGCACGATTGTCTATCCCATCGATTCTACTAAGGCAGCTGCTTCTGAAACAGCTTACCCCTTGTTTGCAGGAAGTGCAGGAATGTCTTAAAATCGGAACTGTTGCAGCGTGAGAGCACATGGGCAGCCACATAGATGTATCCGCCGAATGCAAACATGGTGCGAGTTAGAGCTAGCTACAATCTTCTTACACTTCCCACGTATCTCAGCTAAACGGCCCAAACCCTAAATCCTCAAGCTCAGCGCCCTAATCTGTAAATATTATCCTACCCCCAGAGCCCCTAGCCAGGACCCAGAACCCCAAGACCTTCCTCCCCTGAGGTGCGGCTGCAAACCGGCCGATCAGCGGTTCCTTCTTCGGAGGAGTCTGGTTGATGACACAAGCTTTGTGAGAGGCTGCGGACGACTGTTAGCATCTTCTCCGGGCTTGGGGCAGCTTGCCGACAGTCGTTGGTGGGTACACCGGTCGGCATTGTTGCGAAACCCTTATCTGCCAGGTGATGCCCAGATGCGCTTTCTGCTAAGGAGTGTTCTGACCGGTTGCCTTGTGTGCAGTAGAGGGCACAAACTAACATATCCGGTGAGCAGCGCCGCCATCGCCCGCCATCGCCCACCGTCACGGGGTGGACCAGATACGCCGTTGCCCTGATGAAGCGTTCATAAATCTGGATCCGGGATCTAGGTCACGCGGACAACATGTAGTGGGTCGGTGCACGAGTTATCAGCGCTACAGGTCTCGCAGTTCAACAGCTGTTGACCAGGCATGGGGCATTCACGAGATCAGTCTGACAATGGAACGTATCGGAAGAACAAAGGTCCACTTGCAAACATCCGCGAAGACACTTCAAGTTAACCTCCTAACTTCCTGAGTTGCAGCCACTTTTTGCACAAACCATGGCACAAGATGGATATGAGTGAGGCCTAGTTGACGGATGTTACAAGCGTGTGCGCATGAGTGTTGCAGCCAGAACAGCGGCCGCGGCCTTATGAGGATGTTGACTGAGACGCGGTACAAAATTTGCTGCAGGCAACGCGCTAAAATACTAAAAGATAAAGCATCGCGTGCCGTTCAGGCAAAAGTAACCAGAACCGATCGGCTGGAGGCGACGGGCAGATAAAGTCAGTCCTGCGCTGTTGAGCAGCGCTACTAGTCTGAGCTGAGGAATCATGACGAAGGAGCCAGTTTACGTTTATTCCGTCATTTGTTCCAGCCGCAGGTTCTGGCGGTGGAATCTAGGGGGTAAGGGCGTTTGGCATGTGCGCTACTACATGTAGTGCGAAGCGGGAAGCGCTTTCGTCCCAGGATGCAAACAACGATAAACGTGGCAAGTGAGATGATCATGAGCATTTCTCCTGCTGGGTGTCAGAGTGTGCCTAGGAGCATTGCATACTTTCCCACTGTTGTTGGGACACTGGTGGCTTGTTTTTTAGAACGCACGTTGGCCGCAATGTTGTCGCGCGGTCCATGTCGTCTTCAGTGCCTGTTTTGGAGCCCCGTGGCCTTTTCTACTAACTTGTTCAGGCACTTCGTGGACGCCAAGCATTGCGGTTAACTTATAAAAGGTTTGCTTTCCGCCAATGCTCCGACAGCGCATCCCAACAAAAGGCAAAGCAACTGCGCAAAAAGATGGGCCATTTGCGACAGTGCTTGCTCGGCAGCCAAGATGCTGTACGTAGTTTCTCGACATGATCCACACACAGTATACAATCCCCGTGGACAACTTGCGTGATCTCCTCACAAGCCCAAGGCAACCCATGTATTTCCGACGCCCCTTAGGGTGCCCCGAATTTGAGAGACGCCCCCAAACGTGGGTGAGGAAACTAGCTGGGGTTGGTGGCTGTTGCGGCAATCCACCAGAAAAACGCCTTCACCCATTCGATGTGGGAATCTGCATTCATATACCACCCACAAAATCGGATCCTCAATGCACGACTCCCTCTAAGATGGGCCAAGTCTTAATGATTGCCCAAGCGTCTGTTCCTGATCAAGATCCTTTCATATTTCAGGAGGGCGGCTTTTTGGCACTGTTCGATGGCCTTCTGCTTAACCTGGGCAGAGAGGCTGCGGGATGGCCGGAGTTTGGTGAAGACAGCAGATGGAGTGTGCACTGAGAATCATGCAGGTACTGTGCAGTTTCTAGGGGACAGCAGGGCAGGCAGCAGTTCAGAAGAGTGTGCAGGTCTTCATGAAAGAGCTGGGATTGGTGTGGCGCTGATACTAGGACCTTGGTTGTGTTGCGGAGTCTGTTCGGCTATTTGGACAACAAGGAGAGCATTCGAATGGTTAAGGCATCAGAGACATCCACCAGTGGCAGGTTACATCAACCCAAGCCCAGGTGAGCCATAGGGTAAACTCCTATATCGGGGCATTATAGCGGTTTATTAAGGGTGATACCAGTAGTTTGGACTAGCTCAAGTTGTGCAAATCCTGGAGATGAATTGTACGGTGGCGGTCATTCGGGCTGACGGTTCTCAACTCGGTTTGCCTACAGCAGCAAGCAAGGTGGCCCATAACATTGCCATGCCAATCCTCCAATCAATCCCCTTTCACCCCCACAGTAAACCTCTGCCCCCTTCAACAACGCATTTTCGCCTACCAAAGGGCTGAAGCAAGTTAGGTAGGTCAGCCACAGAACATGGGGCATGTGCAACGCTTGGGAGGCACCCAATGCATCGATCCTTTTGGGCACCTTCAACTTCCTCAAGAGAGCCATCTTCAACCTCTTGCTGCAGCAGCTCTAGCTGTAACAGTTGCTGTAAGTACGAGCCAAGGGTCATGGTGTCTGTCGGCATTGAACCAAATTCTTGGTGCATAGTGCTTCTTCGCCTGCACGCCAAGGCTGCTGAATGGGACTCTTGCCAACTCTACCATCCTCCGCTTTGCGGCGATGGTACCAGCTGGCGCTGTGGCAGACGCACTCGGATCGACGGTCCGAGTTCCCTTTGAATCTCTGATGATGTCTTAGCTTAACGGATACTTCAGCTTTCCGATGTAGTTGCGGATAGCCTCTCTGGCCATGGGTTGCTCTGTTAATTTGTAAGGCTCCTTGTCTTTGCAGTGCTTGTCATGAAATGGATCATCGCATGCTCGCACAACTTGGTCAGGAGCTGATGAACAAACAAGTCCAGGCAGGTTATGCCTCTGGGTTTCAAGAAGCCTTCGAGATCGTTTTCAGCCGCCCTGGTGCGGCAAGATATTACCTAGCCTCATGGACGGCGATCTTGGTGCGCGATGTTCCCTATGGCACTCTTCAGCTGGTCTTCTTTGAGTTCTTCAAAGAGTTCACACCAGAGATTCTGGAGCCATTGGGTTTCAGCCTGTTCGCCCAGAGGCTGGTTTGGGGCTTCTTGGCTGGTGCCTTTGCAGGCATCTTGACAGTTCCAGTGGACAACATCTCCACAGTGGTCATGACTGAGATACAAGACCAGTCAAGCAAGGAGGAGAGTGTACTTGACTTGGTCAAGGGTGCAGCGCTCAACATCTGGACATCCAAAGGGGTGGATGGGTTTTTGGTAGGAGGCGCAGAACGTGCGCTGTACTATGCCCCCCAGGCATGCTTGTTTTTCACATTGTACGACACCTTCATTAATTTGCTGTAAGCTACGCTCAATTTTCTCGATTTTCGGATAATGTCTTATGCATACGAGGGCTATGTGAAGCTCCCTTGCATGCATCCGTGTCCCGCCGCTTGCCGCGCGCGGTGCAAAGAGAGACCTTCTCAAAAGCGGCCCAGGCATACCAGTGCCAGTGCATGAGAAAAGGTCAATGGGGTTGTGCCAGACCAGGCTACACTTGGAGAATGAAGGCAACAACATCATCACCAGCGTTATCATCCTTCTCTGCAGATTTTCATGATTGCCTGCACTAGGACCTTGCTCAGCCTTCTTGCTGATAGCTCCCGTAATTCTGGAATGTATTGTCATGGTTCCATGCCGGCCATGTAGCTCCGTCCGCAGGCAAGCCCAAGGCAGCCTGTCTACGCCTGACCCCTGGTGTTTGAGTTGAGGGATTTTGGACCCCAAGAGGGCCGATTCATGGAGATACTACTCTCAGAGTTCTATTCCACTCGGATGACATAGATTGATTTGGTTTGTAGACTCTCTGGTGGTTCAAGTATATGAGGAGTCATGGTCTAGATACTTCTGGGTAAGATCTCCAAACCAACAAGACTTGTGTTCCATTGCATTGCCACATGAGGTGTAGCCCACGGTGCCTCAACCTCCAACAGGAAAAAGGAGATGTCATCGTCAGAGCAGGCGTATTGCTTGTTCAAAGTTTTGTGATGCTTAACGGCACAGACTTTTACATTTTTGAGCCACTGGTGATCCAGCCTGTCAGGCAAGAGCAGTCGGAGTGGGGACCTCGACTTGCGGGAGCTTTCAGCAAGACACGCATTTGAGCCTGGGCTCGTGGGAAGCGAAGCTGAAGAATGCCTTCGAAGTTGGCTTTCATAGCAAGGATCCTAGATGATCGTAGCTTGCAGCATGCCTGAGGCGTTGGCTGCTTTCGTCGATGTCAACGATGACATCATCACGCAAGCAGCAGACCAGGCACTCTCCAGGTTGTCTCACTGCAACATTGGGAACAAAGATGGACCTCCGGAGATGTCCGCAACGTAACAGATTGGTGAGAATCATATCTCTCCACTAGTTTCAATAAGCTGACGACCGAGCGATTCTCACAGCTCATACTGCTGCAGGCGCAGGCAACAAAGCGGTTAAGGACAGCAGACGGGACGCTACCTCAGCCCAGTGGCAAGTTTCAATGCATTGTGGCAAAGTACAGAGTGCAATCGTCATTGTCTTGACCAAAATGCAAAATTGCATTTCCATATGCAACCAAGGAGACTTCTGCCATCGGCAAAGCCACCGTCCAGGACGAAAGCTGATCCAAGTGTCGTTCATCAGTGGCTGGCAGCGTAATTTGGCTGGCGCGCAGGATCCGAATCGGGCACATTCTTCTGAAGTGTGCTGAGCTCAGTTTTGAGGCCTCTGCAGCGCATTGTTTTGCTTCCCTCAGATGTTGTATGATATTCCGAGGCCAACCAGCTAGTGGAATTGCTCCATCTGATCCACAGGCTTGATGTCTTCAATGCCATCTGCTTTCGCCCCCAAGCAAAGTCAGCAGCTCCATGATGCCATCATGTGCTCTTGGCACCATTTGCGCGGACTGCAGGTTGACAGACTTGGAAGTTTCCAAAGTCGGACTATAGGGGTTATATAGGGATAGTGGAAAAGAACTGGAAACTACTATTTCGGGTTTAAGTGTTTATGGGCCATTTGGGGATAATGGAAAAGAAAATGGAAACTACTATTTAGGGTTTAGGGGTGTATGGGCCATTTAATATATAGGGGTAATATGGGGATAATGGAGAAGAAAATGGAAACTACTATTTAGAACCCTAAACCTTAAACCCTAAACCCTAAAACCTTACTATTTAGGGTTTAGGGGTTTATAGGGGTTTAGGAGTTCCCTTGCCTGTCCACTCCTGAGAGGCACGGAGAGCCGCCCCAGCGGACCGGACCCAGGCCACGCTACATAGGGTAGTATTGGGGTTATATAGGGTAATATTGGGGTTATATAGGGTAATATAGGGTTGTATAGGGTCATATTGTGGTTATATTGGGATCCTTCCAAATTAGGTTTCAGGATTTAAGGCCGTTGGCAGATCTTAGGCTTCTAGTGTTTCCGGATGGAACCGGTTTAGGATTTCAGGATTAAAGGGGCTTGGGATAAAGATTCAGGGAGTAAGGTTTAGGGCCTAGAGTTCAAGAAGTAGGGTTTAGAGATGAGGGCTTGATCTCCTGGGTTCAGGTCGACAGTAGCTTGTTCGTTTCTGTGAGGTGTCGGAAAATCATCACGTGCACAGGCTCCTATTTGTTCGTCTGGGATTTTATGTGACTGAGGGTGGTTCTGGGAACCGGTGGCAGCTTCAGGTTTTTCATGGATCCCGCTATACCGTGGGTTTGCAGGGGGGGTTGACTCCAATGAGTATGATACTTGGCTAGAAAAAGGAGGAGTGCAAACTGCAGTGGCTGTTATGTGAACAAATGGAAACCTCGGCCAAAAGACGGAGAACAGAACTGAAGATGTTCTGACATCCCCTGTCAGTCATGAAGCGGAAGGCAGCATCACAAGTTGCTGATCTGAACATGGGACTCAATTCTGGTTCAGCCCCGCCAGTTCACCACCTCGAACCCCTAAGTTCAACCAGTTCAGTCCAGCACTTCACGCCTGAGCGTAAGCTGCGGCCAAGTGAGCTGGTGAGAGGGTGGTTAGGCCCCCAACAAGTGAGCTGATCAAGTTGGCGAAAGAGGGCAGCCTAAAGCCCGAGCCCAAAACTGTTCGTGGATAAGAACATATTTTCACACCAAAGCAATACAAGCGCCAGAACACCGACCCAGCAAAGAAGCCAATGGGGCCTCACCCAGAACGGGTTTTGGACGCGATCTGTAATTCCTAACCTTATAAATCTAGTAAACCCAAATTAAGCCAACAACCATTCACCACTAGCCTGGGGCTGTTTCACCCCGCGAGGCAGATGCGGAAGCACAGCTTTTGAAGCTGCTAGAGGCTGGTTGATCCAAGGGCACATAGGGGTTCCCCCCAAATAGTGCTCCTTTTTGTAGGAGAAGGATTGCAGTTGTGTCTTCTTGGACCCTCCCCAAATGGCTGCCGGGACAGGTTCCCTTCCATGTGATCCTGTTGCGTTGACATGCGCCAAATCACTCAGCAGCTGCCCCATGCTGGTTGCCTCGCGAGGTTCTGCACGAAGCCTACAACAAGGGCCCAGGTGTCCTGGCTGACACACTTGACCAGATTTGGCTCATGCTCTAGGTTCATTGTGCGCGCCGTAAGAGAACTTGCAACGTGCTGACATCCGCATGGGAATGGTACAGCCTATCACAGACTTCAAGCCTTGCCAGAAGCTGGTGCCGGCAAGCGCTTGACGACAAAGTTCGCAGAGCTCGCCAAGGTGGATTGTTTGGTGGCGCGGCAAATAACCCGCAAGTTGCTGTTGCGCGACTCATCTTAGGATCAAAAGCTGCACCCAACCGTCACCCTGCAGGAACATTCCGACTGCAAGTCTGCGACAGCGGGATCGTTGTCTGATTTAGGCGGGGGTGACTGCAGTATCCCTAAACCATAAACCCTGTCGACCCTGTCAGGATGGATCACCCAGGGCCAGCAGGGGAAGGCCGATTTCAAAGCATGCTGGATGAAGAGCTTATACAGGGCTTGCACCATCGAAGTCCTGTTGATGTTCTCCGGGGTACTCTCGTTTTGACTATTACTGTTGGAACCAGGTGTGGCCAAGAGAACGAATGTTGGGAGGGGCTTCGAACGGTTGCGTTTTTGATCACAGTCCATTCGTTGACCTGGAGCTTTTGGTTTCATATACTATACAAAAGGAGGGCAGTTTGGTTTTGAGCGTCCTTGCGTGGTTGCAGTTGAGTTGCTAGGGATCGATTAATCCATTTGTCATGCTTTGCTAGAAGCACGTTTGTTTCAGATGGCAATCGCTCCCCTGCTCTTGAACCGTCAAGGAATTTGATGCGGCAGCATTCGAGCTCCCCGCTGGAAGCTCTTGACGAATCCTTCTGCGATTTTGCCGTTTTTTTTTTGAAAGTTTCTTGGGTCTTAGCACATGTGCGTCATGGTGCATAATGAAGCGTATTACTGCGTTCACCTCACAACGCAACAACTTTCCTAGGTCGGTGGTCTCAGTGACATTATTGTCACTCAGCGTGGTGTAGCGGGCCTTGGCGATAAGAGATGTGCAGCAACCAGATCAGTTTTCGAAGCCAAGGGCTGGTTGCTTTGCAGCAGACGTCTGATTCTCAGGTCCATATACTTCACCGCCTCGCGTAAGCGTCCTCGTGGCGAACTCGCCTGGCATCTTAGCTTTCAAGTCCTGGGCTCGCCTGGAAAAAGCGCTGCCCCGGCCAGAAAGGGCCTGCTGCCACTCTTGGATCTAAGAACCTAAAACTGCTGAGTACAGCCGCCTTCTGGGTCGGGATGGCATTGCGCAGTCAGTTTGCCTTGCACCCGAGGCATTATCCCGCCACCCGAAGGGCACCGGTGATGCTGTGGCGACTAGCTCACAGTAGCTCGATCATGTGTCACACTTGCTTGGCAAGGCTTGGAGTCTTTTACGCACGTGGTATACCTTAGGCAGCTCAAGCACCTCTCCCGAATAGCCTTCTTATAAATGCGGGCACCGCTCTAAAAAGAATAGAAGAGTCATATCTCCTTGCTTTCTGTTGGGCAGCTGCCTTTCATCGGGCACGTTGCTGTAGTAATCATTGTGCATTTTGGTGACGCAACGGAGGTTACATTGTATCTTAGCCAAATCAGTGCTGGTTCGGTGTTTGTTTCGTGGGTTCCGGTTCCAGTTTGACAGCGTGGAACCGCAGCTTGACGTTAGAAAAGGAGTTCTTCAAGGACAATCATGTGAGTGCTTGGACTGACGATTGAGGTTCGCAATGCCATCTCGCAGATCCTTCTCTGAGATTTAGAGCAACCGGAAAATCATGTATTTATTCACCCCACAATATGCTCCTGGAGGTTCTAAATTCTAATCTTTAGATTCCTTGGGGTGTCTGGCTCTGAGCTTGTTGTCTGGTCTCCTGCTCAGACACCGCTCTGAGCCTTCTGCGTTACCTGAAGAAATTTACCCAAATGACCTTGCTGTTCTTCATGGCCACTGCATGCTCCAGAACAAGAACCACTGGAACAGTCAGTGCCAACTATGAAATAACTCAAGGCCTGACTTTTGTCAGCCTTAGATATTTGAGGTCTCCCATTTCAGGATCTGCAGAGGGCAGCGCTTGTGTCCTGAAGACCAATTCCTCTCTTGCCCCAGTGGCTTCGTTAGTAGCATCTGCTTGCCTGCTGCATTTTTTTGAGCATTGTGGTCAATCATAGTTCTGTTTATCATGAGCTGCTTCTTCCCTCCTCCTGTGGCCGCTGAGAGGGCTATGTCGGGTTCGCTCTGCGCAGCTTCTGTTCATGGAGTTCAGCTTCAGAGCCCTGTTTCAAGCTTCAACTACAAGACATACCAACTTGGCAGGGATGACTGGAGGAAGGCCGCGGAACGGCTGTCAGAGATGTATAGCCTTGGCCTGAAGCCGGATCAGTTCACTTGTAGTATTGTCGTTAGTGTTGCAGGACGCAGGAAGTGGCGAAAGTCGTGCGATTGTCTAGAAGACTTTCGGTGCCATCTTGTGGAAGTGAACACCGTCATCTGGGGAGCTCATTTGACAGCCTGCGAGAAGGGAGGCCAATGGCAGACCGCAGCCTCCCTTCTTCTGAACATGAAGCCGCAGTCGCTGGAACCCAGCCTGATCACTGGCAATGGAGTGATCACTTATGGAAAGAGTAAGTGGACCCACGCTCTAGGAATGATGAGCCGCTTGCAGACCGAGATGCTGCGGCCAGACCGAGTGACTTGCAGCGCAATGATGACTGCGTTTGACGCGGAAGGTTCCTGGGAGCGTGCGTTCAGCCTCTTGCAAGCGTCTCGAGGGAATCATATGGAGCTGGATGTCACGGCATGGACGTCGCTCATCGGTGTTTGTGCTAGGGAGGGTGGTCAGTGGAAGCGATGTTTGGATACTTTGGCCTGCATGGCACAGCTGAAGTGTCGCCCAAACGTCGTTAGTTTTCGAACAGCGTATTTTGCATGTGAATTGGCGGACACATTTCAGCCGGGTCAAGACCTGCTAAAGCAGTGTTCTGGAGATCCTGCATTCAATTTGTGGGCTGCTGCGAAACTAGGTGTGCAGGACCCGCAGGTAGTACATGGGTGCTGCCTTGCTGCACTTGAGTATCTCTCTTCTGGATCCGCATCTGCTTCTCAGATCGCTGCTGTGTGCTGGGCTGCCAGCGCTCTCGGGGTTACGGGCATGGTCCTGGAACAGAGGCTGCAACGAAGCTTGAGAAAGCGACTTGGAGACTTCACAATGCAGGAGTTAACCGTCCTTGCATGGAGCTTTGTCGACTTCAGATGCAGTGGAGTGTTGCATGTTCTGCAGGAGGAGGCATGCCGACGCCTAGGAAGTATGGTGGATAAGGGCGGGAACAAAAAACTACTTGCTCTTCTTCAAGACATCCTTGGACTGGTTGGGGCTTGCGCGATGGCAGGCTTTCTTCACAGACCGTTTCAAGCGCGGGCCTCAAGGCTTGTCCACAAGATCGCCAGGAGTCTCGACACTCAGAGACTTGCCATTTGTCCACTGGGGCACGTTTTCGGTTCGCAGGACAATCTGGTATCGTTGCACGAACCTAGCTGCAGGCTGGATTTGGGCGACCGGGTGGTTGTGTATAAGCCAGCCGGGTGGGAGGTACATGACCTGCACGAAGCAATGCAGTTGCATGATTGGATCAAAGCGCACTACCTACACGTACCCATCCTTCGCAACTCTGAGCTAGACTTCGGATTCTTGCACCGGCTTGATGTTCCCAGCTCGGGGTTGCTTTTGGTAGCCAAAAGCTGCGATGCTTTCCACGAGATGCAGATGCAATTGGCACTGGGTCAGCTAGAGAGGTGCTATGTAGTTCTTTGTCATGGCTGGCTTCCGAAAACGTTGAAGGATTTGACGTGGCAGCTAAGGTTGCAAGGAGAGGTGTCATTAGCAGGCCGCGGCAAGCCTTGCCGGACAAGCTTGCACTCGCGAGAGCACCTCTCTTTGAATCAGAGAGCCCTCAGCTTGGTCAATGTCACGATTGCAACTGGCCGCATGCACCAAATCCGCTGCCATTTGGCGCATGCGGGCCATCCGACAGTTTCGGACGGGAAATACACCGGGCAGCAAACATTTGGAGAGGACTTACGGTGGTGCCCACGAAATTTCTTGCATCGTCACACAGTGATCTTCCAAGACTCTTCGGGCAGGTGCTGTGCGGTTACAGCTCCTCCTGCCACTGATTTGGAGAAGGTAGTTGAGTGCGTGGATTACTTAAGAAACAAACTTGTGCTGTGTGTGCGTGAAGCGTATGAATTTGAATCGAACTCATGGTAGATCGAACCTTGCTCTGTGCGGGTGGCCTCCGGCGGGTGTAGGACATGCATCACCAGTGCAGACATCGTGCAATTCTGACTGGCCTGACTTCATCAAAGTGCTTTTAGATGTTTAGACGATTAGTATAATGGACTTTGCAAGCCTGCAGGCGGACTTTAAACTTTTCGGGGGTAAGCTTCAGATGGTGGACCCATGCAGTTCCTCTTAGGCGGAGAGGGGGGGGCGGGGCGGCCAATAAAAGGGCACGGTCATCTTGATAGATTCAACATACCGACCCAGGTAGGAGGCAATTACCGCCTGGTCTGATGGACGGGCTCGCTATGTCTATGTAAGTCTATGTAGATGAGAAAATTGTGATTCCTAAGCGTTTCTGCACTTTGGGGCTTAGCACGTTGATGCTACAGGGGCCATCCAACGCTGCCGGCTCGTGCATTTGGGACTTTTCAATACGAAGTTTCCGTGCAGGAAGTTTGGCGAGGCTGCCGCAACACCCACACACATCTTGCAAGGTCAGTACGGCAAGCATTCTCCATTTTTGCCGGGCATCTCCCACACAAGTGCCATAGATTTTGCTACTGTGGTTGCAAGCATGGTCTTGATGAAATAGTATGGGGATAATGGAAAAGAAAATGGAAACCACTATATGAGCTATAGTCTAAACTCCTAGTATCCCCCTTGATAACCCTTGTTTTGCTCCTTTACGGCGCCTTCGCGCGTGGACCATGGGGAGCTCCCCAGAAGGTGGCAGCCTCAGAGTTTCCCAGCAACCCCAAACCCTATATGAGCCCCAATAATGGAGAATCAAATGGAAAAGAAAATGGAAAATGAAATGGAAACTGGGATTATGTAAGGGTTTATAGGGATTATGAGCTATACTGAGGGTCCACGCGCATACTTAGGA